CTCTCTCTCTCTCTCTCTCTCTCCCACTCACTCACTCACTCAAACACATACAGACACACACACACACACAAACACATGGATAAATATGCACATGTACATGTATACACATACACACACCCCACCCTCCTGCACAAAAACACTCACACACATGTACATGTATACTCACCCACACACAGATGGAATACACACAAACACACAAGCATGGCCCACCCTTCCCAATACACACACATATGCACACACACACCCACACACACACATGTACACACATTCCTACATACAAAACACATAATTATTATATTATGTGACTTTCTCGTGACAAAGAGCCATAAATTGTAAATGACAAGACGCATCAATACAAACATATAGATCACGACCTCAGTGCTTTCTTGTCCTATCTGCATCTTTAATAAAAGTGAAAACAGTTTATAACAAGGAGTGAGCTCAAGAAGAAGTCACATTTTAACTGTTGTAAAAATGGAGATACGACATGTTGTCAAGAAAGCACTGAGGTCGCGAGATCTAGCTGCCCACACATTTTTCGCTTAAATAGTTTATACAACTAAATAAAAACATGCGAAACTATGGGACTATGCTTGGTCTTTCATTAGAGTCCTTATACATGATACCATGTAATATATTTGCAAAAGAATTAAAATATCACACACTCACTAACATACACACACACACATACATACACACACACACACACACACACACACACACACACACACACACACACACATTCCTACACAAAACACATAATTATTATATTATGTGATCTTCACCTGACACAGAACCATAAATTATAAGATGCACCAATACAAATTAAATAAACATGTAGATCTAGCTGCCTGCACATTTATTTTCACACAAATAGTTTATACAACTAAATATAATCATGTAAAACTAGGTGACTATGCTTGGTCTTTCAATAGAGTCCTTATACATGACACCATGTAATATACTTGTAAAGGAATTATAATACACACACATACACACACACACACACACACAAACGCACACACAAACACACACACAACCTCCACTCCCTCCTCACTATGGTCTCTACCATTATGTCCATACATAATACGTCCAACTCAAAGCATCATAGCCACACCTCACACAGAGATAGGCTTACTAAAAATGTCCATAACGACAATAACAACACGCATTCATGCTTTACTCGCTATACAAGCATATCTTGATTCAACAACCAATGACTATTTTTAAAGTTAATTTACAAAGACGGTTGGCTTCTTTATACAACTGGAAAAACTGAAGCATGTGTACGTTATGAATGTATTTATGTACACATGTATGTGTACATATTGACACTTTTAAGGCACATTTACAGTCATAAAAAAGGCACAACTCCTTCCTGCAGTGAATTATCCTCACCAGTTCACACCAGTGTCTGTGGTCTGGTGGTTAGTTGCTCTGCAACCACACACTGAAGAACTGAGTTCGATTTCTGAGTGGAGAGAATTTTTATCGAGTATTTTAGTCTTTCTGCTGGGAAGTTGTATCGATCACAGCCCAGGTTGGCCCTGACCGGCACGGTCAAAGCCCATCTCCTAAATAAATCTAAATTGTGTTGATGGGGGTGTTTCAAAATTTTGAGTTCAGTTAACTTAGTAGCCTACTCTGAACAGCAGGCAGATGTATTGAAAGACGAAAAACAGGAAGTGAAAATGTATAACACGGATAACTCGAATTTGTCGGGACTGGCCTCGGTAGTTCGAGGGATCCGTAGTTTGACTTTGAGGGGTAACTTACAAAGATAAAGAAGAAAAAAAAACGGGATCGCAGACACAGTGCGATGGGTGTGTGATTTCGAGTCTTCTGTGTTCAACCTATCCGTGTTATACGGTCCAAACCTTATGAAAATAAACTGTCGGAATCATCCAGAACAACGTCCTCTCCAGCTTGATCTCTTTGCCAACTGGTCTGACCTTCATCTTCTCTCTCCAGGTCCTCCATGTTGTTCAAACGTCTCTTCCAGCTGAAATGAACCGTGCTTTTGAGCGGCGTTTTTCTCCAACTTTTCTTCTTATCCGACGGAGCGAAACAATCAATGCGGTCATCTCTGAGTGTGCTGTTGTTCAAAAAGTCATCAAAGTTGTCCTGGTCACTGTTTTCTTCCTCCTCGTGGCCTGCAGAAGTTTCCGGTCCAGCCCTGTCAATGGAGAAATTTCTAGAACTGGTGGCAACAGCTGAAAGATCGGGCTCCGTGATTCTGGAACTTGTAGATCGGGTGTTCGACTTCTGAGATGTGCGCACGTCTATCTGTACTCGCTTCTCTGTCTCTGACTTGTGAGGTGGGTCTTTATTTACACATGTTTGCTCCTTCTTCTCTGCATCAAGTGGTTCAGCCATGTCCTCATCCCCAGAAGACAGAGAGAATATATTGTCTAGCAAGGACTTGTAAGTTTTTCGGCCACTTTTAGCCCGCGATGTATCCCGACCTTCCCGCTCTGACCTGCCTGTCTTTGTCCTCCAGGCTGAAGAAGAAGAAGAAGAAGACGGTGCAGGGTTTGCCTCGCCATGACCTACTTTCCTTCTGTTTGCCGTCTGTGAGGATCTTTTTCCAATCTCGACCAGGAGATCATCAACATCTTCCGTAGTTGTCGGACAAACCGAGTTGTCTTGTAGACTTCTGGACTCAACATCTTCACAACTCTGTAGTTCGTCGACGATAGTGCTGAGGGAGGGGTCTACAGTGGTGGGGACATACGAACAAGATGGGGCAAAAAGGTTTGTGTTGTCGCGATCTCTACTGGACGAACTCTGACCTTTCCGCCTTATACGAGTGAGGCCAGACTTGGAGGGTGACGGTTTTGGCGAGGGTGTTTTTGCCCGTCTTCGCTGTGCGTGGGGAACAGGAGCGAATCCCTCAGAATTCTGGGAAACGCAGTCATCGAGGTCACGATCAGGTGAATGAGCCGTGACTGACTCCTGCGACTCCCACCTCATTGTCTCCGCATAAAACAGCGACGACATCATCAAGTGGTCCCTCCTCCTCCCGCCTCTAGATGTTCTCCGAGACTTTGCTGGGTGAGACACAGCAGATTTCCCTTTCCCCCGCCCTGACCGTGGTCTGCCGGTGGATTCGGATGATTTATTTTTAGTGGACGCTGTTTGTCGTAATCTAGGAGGCTTTTTGACAGATTTCTTCACTTTGACACTCTCCTTTGGAGCTGGGAATAATAAAAGAAACATCAGATTAGGGGAGATAATATAATATTTATCTTTAAATAGCCCTCAATCTTGACTAGGACATGCTCCGAGCAAACGCTCACTCGATGTTACTGCACGCTTCTTGTTTAGTTTTAGAAAGCATTTTACGGCACTTGCAACACAATAAGGTCATATAAGTGCCAAAGAATAAATGTGTTACAAGAGAGTAACATACACACAAAAAAAGGAGAGATAAGGATGATAGAAGTTTGATAGGAAAGGAAGGAGTAAACCACATTAGAGCACCCACCAACCACCCACTCACGCTTCATGTAGACGCACACTTATGAGCCCTCCCCAGCACCGTCCTTTGACTGCTGAAGTATACTCATGTTTCCAGCAAGTTTGTATACCATAAGCAACTGTATCTGTGTCATGTTGAACTCAACCGGCCCAAACGCCAATATTTTTGGTATGCGCGCGCAACGCTCCAGCCCTAACGTAAACAGTATCAGTATGGAAAATTTCGCTCTCGTGACCGAAAACACTACTTTTGTGTAAAGCAGACATTAGATAAGGTTTTAATAAAAATGTGTACCAAATTTGGAAAGGATATGTTAAAAATTAGTATTTTTTTCAATTTTTCAAAAAGTGGCAAAAATCTCCAGGGAAAGTTGACAACCCAGAAGTGTAGCCCTATGGTTGAGTGACTTAATGTACTGTTAACAAACTGTTTTGCTACTTTCAGTTGGTTATTTTAAAAAACCCACCAACTAAAAACAAAGAAAAACACAACGCAAAACAAAATGGACGGGTCAAAAACAAGACTGACAGTAACACAACACCAAAAAGCTCACCCGGAAGTTTGGGAGTGGGAGTGAGCGCGGCAGTCAGAGCGTCGGTGAGCTGTGGGTGTCTCCGACAGTAAAACTCTCGCAACATGTCTGCCCTCTCCTCCACGCTCAACTCCAGCACTGACTGAGCCATAGCGACCTGGTCCAGGCCTCTGGACTCGCACAGCTCCTGCCAGTGTTGTCTGAAAATGATGCCATTGTAATTGTTTGAGGGAAGACTGGAGGCCGCCGCACTGTGGTATATATGGAGGATACTCAGAATCTCTCAGTATCTATTATGTTCTCTCAGTACCATTTATTCATGCTGTTCTGTTCTGTAACAATTTATGACTGGGTGAATTCATCAGTGTGTACGAGGGTATCTGAATAAGTTTTGTGGGATTGTCTTTACTCAAGGACTTACTGGTGAGAGAGAGATAGAGAGAGAGTGAGGAAGAGAGAGAGAGAGAGAGAGAGAGAGAGAGAGAGAGAGAGAGACAGAGAGAGAGAGAGAGAGAGAGAGAGAGAGAGAGAGAGTGAGACAAAATGAGAGAGAGAGAAAAAGAGGATTACTATAGGAGCTGTGCGCTGCATATGTTCTTTGTATTATTGAACAGTGCATTGAGCACTTCTTTGAGGAAATGCGCTATATAAATGCAATTTATTATTATTATTATCATTATTATTATTATTATTACAAAACAAATAGAAAAGTGCTCCAAATGACAGGTTGTGAAAGATCCATAATCAAAACGATCAGAATAAGGCATTTCAGATTCTTTGGCCACATAAATAGATCAAATGGAAAAGAGAAACTGCTGCTGCTTGGAAAGATAGAGGGAAAGAATAGCAGAGGAAGACAGAGAACATCATGTGCAGATGGCCTGAACAACTTTGCAACAAATAACTCAAAGAGAAAAATCAAGCTGATCAAGAAGGCTGACTACAGTAAGGAATGAGGTACCATGATCGTCAATGTCCGCTCCAGATCTGACACCTGAAGAAGGAAAATTGTAAATGATGGCATAATGTTGAAATCGAGCATTCGTCAAAATAATGAAATCAAAGAAATTGACATTTTCCTGCCAGTTGGGCAATTCATATTGGTTTGGGGTTTTATTTTCTAGACCTTTTCATAATGACCCTATCATTACCAGGTGAAAGTGGGCGGAGTCTGACTCTATGTTTGACCTGGTGATAGTGGGCGGAGTCTCATTCTATGTTTTACCTGGTGATATCGGGTGGAGTCTGACTCTACGTTCTACCTGGTGATAGTGGGCAGAGTCTATGTTTTACCTGGTGACAGTGGGCGGAGTCTGACTCTATGTTTTACCTGGTGATAGTGGGTGGAGTCTCACTCTACGTTTTACCTGGTGAAAGTGGGCGGAGTCTATGTTATACCTGGCGATAGTGGGCAGAGTCTGACTCTAGGTTTTACCAGGTGATAGTGGGCGGAGTGTGACTCTATGTTTTACCTGGTGATGGTGGGCGGAGTCTGACCAAGCAACAGTTTGAAAGAACCAGACTTGACACATCGCGGCTTGTTGTGCTCTTCTTCTCTCACTCCTCCTTTCGTTCGTCCAGGCAGCTTTGAGGCTTTCTTTTCATCTTCCTTCTCTTCTTCTTCCTTCATAAGGAAAAATTCGAATAATTTGTCAGTTTGTACCAGGGAACAAACTCAAGGCTCAATAAAACATGACAGTATATGAAGTCACTTGCTGGCACAAGCGTCTGTGTGCACACCAATGTTCGTGTGTGTACGGGTATGCTAGAGTGTGTGAAAGGCTTGTGTGTGTGTGTGTGTGTGTGTGTGTGTGTGTGCGAGTGTGTGTGGTTGTGTGTGTGATAAAATAAGTTACCCACTCAGGAATCGAACACGTTTCTACTGACAACAATAAAGAGTCTAGCCATAACACCGGGTAGGATATTATTACAGTGTAATAATAATAATAACGATGATAATAATAATTAAAATAATAATAATATAAAAAATAGTAATAATATTAATAATAACAAACAATAATCATAATAATATTAATAAATAAAATAATAATAATAATAATAATAATAACAATAATAATAATAATAATAATAATAATAACAATAATAATAAAAATAATAGTGCGTTTGTCAAAGTCTGACAGTGACCAATACATCTGTAGAGGAAAATATGAATCTTTGGCAAAACAGAATAAACAAGAACTACTGTCACTTGAGGTTTCTGCTGTGGTCGATTAGACCAATTCTGGCAGAGAAGAGTTTGCTACACATTTAGCATTTAAAAAGTTCATTCCCACGTGTGGATGTGTGCAGCTAGCAGGCCTCTCTTGGCTTCAGCATTTTTGATTTGTGAACCCTCATATTGTCGCTGTCACAAGCAACTCACTTCAGTCCAAATTTTGAGAATCTTTGATTTTTATACCCTCCCACAGTTTTATCAAAGACACATCTTTCAACATCACCAAAATACAGTTTAATGCTATGGTCAGAGCTTACAATTTTCTTGCTTTTCATGGTTCCTGATAGGAACAACACAACGAAAAATTAGTTTTTTGTCTCTCATGTAAAAAGTAAGCAATCGGAATTAAGTGGATTGCTAGTGACACAGACGAACGATATGACTTTCTGTCTCTGTGATGGCTACCCTCCGACTGGGTCTGTCCAGAAGTAGGCTATCCCATGTCAAAAGACTCGTGTTGAAGTCCGATTTTCAGGATGTGTTTGTTGCTTTGTTTTGTTTTGTTGGGTTTTTTTGGTGCATCAACTTTAGGCTTTCCCAAGGACAGCTCACTTCACCCAGGTGGGAATGGGTACTCAGCAATAGACAGCATAGCTTAAGATCTTGTCAGTTTGTTCGAGTTTCAGGGCTTGATCAGCTGCTTACACTGTAGGCCTCCCGAGCAGCCGAGAATTTTCTGAGTGTTCTAGAGTCTGCTGGGGTAATGAGAGTTGAAAAGTGCATAGAGCATGCTGTAAAGCATAGATATGCACTATTTAAATGCAATTTTATTATTATTATTATTTTTTTTATTATTTTTTCTTTTTCTTTTATTATTATAATTTTTATTATTATCATTATTATTATTGTTATTATCATCATCCTTATTGTAATTGTCATTATTGACACAGTGCTGTCCTCACCTCTATTAGCGGATCGCACTGCACAGCTGGTGCCTGTGTGTTGGTGTGTAGTTCAAACACGTCCTGCATGGCACAGCGCGTCATATGATCCTCTGCCTTGCTGGAGCCCACGACGCGCGGGTTGATGTGTGTGTGGAGGACACCTTCACTCTCTGGAGATAGAGAACGTGTCATCCTTCATTTTTTTCCTTCTGAGCGTATAATATGTGTGTGTGTGTGTGGGGGGGGGGGGTACGATTGAGAAAGAAATAGTTTTTTCTCTCTCACTTTCTGGGCCTAGGACATTTGAACATTTTAGCCAACAATATGTGTCACGACGTGGTGGAATCAGGCGCTCATCAATTTCCGGAAATATGGAGTTATTGGTATCATCTAAAAACCTGTTTATTTGCCTTGCGTCTGGTGAAAAAATATCCATCTATCTTGATATAGATGTCGAGATATTTGTGATTGAAGGGGGGGGGGGGGGGGTCGCTCGATTTCAGAGGTAAAATCAGCGAGAAAATGGCCGCCAAAGTTATGTAACTTCCATAGTTTTAGAGTCCTTGGAAAGTGAAAATTTACATTTTTTTGTGCTTTTAATCAATGTTTTTCTGTAACATCCACACAGAAATGTGTTACTGAATGGACATAAAAGGTGCTGAGCAAAAAAAAGAAATTTGAAAAAAAATGTCCAACGGCCAGAAAAATGCCAATTTCTTGGATTTCATTATTTTGACGAGCGCCTGATTTCACCACAATGCATCACATATGTAAATGACACATACACTCACCTAACACCGACAATATGAAGCTCACACACACAAACAATCACCTAACACTGACAATATGTAGATGACACACACACACTCACCTAACACTGATAGCTCTGATGAAAATTTCCGCTTTTTACTGCTCGATGATATCGCTGATGACGACTTCCCTTTAGGATCGGCCACCTCCACGTTTCTTTTACTGGCTTCTTTCTTTTCATCAACAAATTTGTCTCGCTCCCGTCCTTTACCGACACAGTGAGCGTGTTTGTCCTTTAGTCGTGGAGATTTCGACACTTTGGCCTCGTCAATAGCTTTGTTTACTGTCGAGGTCTTAATCGATTTTGTCACGCCAACGACATTGGCGACCTTATTATCACTTGTGGACTTTACCAAAGATTTCTCGTCAGTCTCCTCATCAACAGAACCCTCAGATTCAGAAGAAAATAACCATGACAACCCTGATCTCACCGTGGTTGACCTACGGTTCGAACCTGCTCGTAACCGAGACGGGCCCGGAGAAGAGAAGGTGAGGGAATCTCCAGCAGCTTCTCGTGTAGTGGGAATGTCTATCTCAGTCCGCGGCGCAGCAGTCGAGAAAGTGATATCGGAAACTGTAGGACTCCCCTCTCCGTGTGTCTCAGAACTATCTGGGCAGCGAACGTTGGAGTCTGTCTGTATCTGCCTCGGGGGAGGAGTTTGTAGTTTGTGTCGCAGCCGACGAAGGAAAGGAAATCCATCGTCGTCGTCATCGGAGTTGTTGTTGTCATCATCATCACCACCATCATCATTGTCACCATCATCTTCATCATCACCTCTGAGACTGGAGTCTTCATCTTCCAGAACATCTGCATGTCTGACCAAACTTCTGCTGTCATCAGTAACTGAGTCACGCTTTCGTTTCTTACTGCCATGAATCTTCTCACGACTTCGGCCGTGAACTGTCAGTGGTATTCTGTCTGTAAAAGAAACAAGATCACATACAGTCAGGCCTGCTCTAAACAGCAACCTGTCCAAGACAAACAACCACTTCCCCTTTCACCCCTTACATATTTGTAATATTTAATGACTCCGTCAAAGACAATCACTTTTCCCCTATAAAATCGGTGGACAATTTCGACTTTGACTGTATCTTTTAACTCATACGAGATAGTCTACGCCTGAGTTTGTTTTTAGAGAATCATTTGTTTTCTTCACTTTCCTCAGTTTCATAACAAACGGATACAGTGTGTTTAGTCATAGAGCCCTTCATATACAATAACACAAATAACAGGTCTGGTTTGACCTGAAAAGCAAGGGAAAAAATTCATCTACATAAAACTATCAACATTATAAAGTAACAGCAACCATATCTATACAATCATTTTTTTTGTTTTTCAACTCAGCAAAATAGAATCTGCATCTCATCTGTAGTGTAGCAGTTCGGCACTTTGCTGTTGCATGCAAGAGCCATAAGTTCAATTCACAAGGGGAAGAATTTTTATAGAGTATCTCAGTCTTTCTGCTTGGTTGTTGTATCCTTCTCAGCCCCAGTCGGCCCTGACAGGCAGGGTTGAAGCCCACCTCCTAAAATGATCTAAATTGTTTTTTACATTTTTTTTTTAAAGTAAAGGATTAAAAAAGGAGTTCACTGCTACATGCCTACCAACAACTGATCTTCACACTGGTTCAATGTGTTAAAATCATAAAAATCACCTAAATACAAAAACAGAAAAAAATCAAAAGCCATCAGGAAATAAACTGACATCACTCACCAGAGCCAAAGAGTTCTCTCAGAAACTGCTCATCTTCTTCTCTTTCCTCGTCAGAACTGACCTCCCCCTCAGAGACACCACCACCGCCGTCACCAACACCACCACCAGAGTCGCTTTCATTCTCCGAGTCCTCACCACCACCTGCAGCTTGTCTCGGTGGAATGTACTGAGCGATGGAAAAACTGGCGAGACCCTTCTCAAGCTTTTCATTTCTCTGAGGAAAGTTTTTGTAAAAAATGTTAATAAAGCGCTCTGATCTGGATGTGCAAAATGTTTGGGTTTTTTTTGTTTTAATATGCACTTCATAGCACTTGCAACACAAAAAGGTGTCATAACCGCTGAAGACTAGAAATGAAATGGTGAAATGGTATGGGTTTAACGCCCCTATCAACACTATTAGGTTATTTAAGGGGCGGGACCTCCTCGTTTAATGTCCGTCTCCGATAGGACCGGAAGACTAGAGGTGTTACTAGAGCATAACCTACACAGGAAAGAAGGAAGAGAGATAAGGACAATACATGTTCAATAGATAAAAAGAGCCAAACCACACCAGAGCGCATGCCAATCATCCACATACAAAATGTAATAGTACAGGCATTTTTACTACCCAACCCCTTCCCCGCTCACCCTCCATCCAATCTCATCACTTCCATCCCCACCTCCGTCATCCCTCTCCCCAAACCCCCCTCCCCTTCCACCCCCAACAATGTACATAACACACCTACTGTAAAAAAAACCCATCAGAACATAAACAAAATAAAACATTACTATGATAAAACATTACCATAATAAAACATTACTATGATAAAACATTACTATGATAAAACATTACTATGATAAAACATTACACAAAGAAACAATACATGTGAAAACATTAGCAAAAAAAAAACAACATTGCACAAGAAAACATTACACGTGAGAACATTAGCAAAAAATTTTAAAAACATTACACAAGAAAACATACCTCAAGAAAGTATTAGCACAAGAAAATATTACACCAGAAAAAACATTGCGTTAGAAAACATTATCCGGGGACACGCAAGACACAAGCCAGTCTTTCACCTTGAGGATGTCCATGGTGAGACAAGAGTTTCCCGTGCGGAGAGAGAACATGTTTTTGATCCCAAATAGCTCCCCCTTGTTGTCCTTGTCTCCTTGGATACCCAGGAAGTAGCGGCGAGCGTTGCCCGTGCCCACGGCCACTTCATCCAGTTGCTGGGGGGTGGGGGAAGTGGACAAGAAGAAAAACAGAAATGGTCATTGGCGTTGGTGGTGTAGCGGTTAGCTACTTCGATATCACACACAAGAGACCCAAGTTTGATTCAGGATTTGGGAGAATTTATCCAGTATCTCTGTCTTTCTGCTGGGATGTTGTATTTCTCTCAGCTCAGGTTGGCCCTAAAAGGCATCATCAGAAGCCCACTTCCTTAACTAAATTGTGTCGATGAGGGCATGAAAACACCTAAATTTTGGAGGGGGAGGAGGGGAGAAATTCATGTGACGTTGTCCAAGATGGCTGTCCATTGTCAAGAAGAAAAATGGTTGTCTTACACAGATGGACATCTCGGAGAGTGTCATCATAATGTGTGTCGATATGGGCGTAAAACATCAACTTTTAACATTTTTTTGTAAAGTGCAGACCACATACCTGTTTGTAGACTTGCCTCAGGTAGACATTTTCCTCTATGGTGCCGGCAGACACCAGACGGTAGACCTTCACGTCCCGCGTCTGCCCGATACGATACGCTCTGCAGACAAAACACTTCTGTGATACATCTTGTTTTGTTTTAGTGAGAGATTTACGGCATTTGCAACACAAATAGGTCAAATAAGAGCTGAAAATTAAAGGTGTTACTAGTGAGTAACATACAAAGTAAAGGAGGATAGATAAGGACGATGAATGTTTGATTGGACAGAAGGAGCAAACCACACTTGATTTCTTTAATCTTTTTAAAAATAATGAAAACCGTGAAAAAACCCCCAATAATAATGACATCTATACAGCACTCGACCCTGACTAAAGAACACAGGCTCTGAGAGTTTACAAATACAAGAACAACACATAAACAGTACATTGTGTTCTGACAAAAAATCTCCATATATCTCATTAATCTAAAAACAGAAACGACTTTCGCTGCCACTTGAGAAAACCCTGGTACAGAGCAAACATCGAGACGAACAAGCCAAGTAGGTTTGCGTACCTGTCCTGTGCCTGCAGGTCGTGGCTGGGGTTCCAGTTGGGGTCAAAGATGACCACTCTGTTGGCTCCGGTCAGGTTCAGACCCAGACCACCAGCCCTGGCAGGACAAAGGTATGGGATTAAAGCTGATGGTGAAATCATCATCAGCATCATCAGCATCATCATCATCATCATCACAATCATTATCATCATCATCATTGTTGAAAGCACGAAAAGTAAAACAAAAATTATATGGAGACTGGGTATTTCAGAAACTTAATGACATTTTTACAAAAATGTTTTGTTCCACGCTTTGTTACCCTATGCTTCATCATCATCATCATCATCATCACAATCATCATCATCATCATCATCATAATCATCATCATCATCATCACAATCATCATCATTACAATCATCATCATCACAATCATCATCATCATCACAATCATCATCATCATCATCACAATCATCATCATCATTGTTGAAAAGCAGAGTAGGGAGATGGAAGAGGAGTCTCAATTAATTTCAAGTCAGAAAATATCATCATTTTACTTTTACAGTCTCTGAAACTGCCTGTGTGGTTTAATCCACCCCTCCAATGTCCACAGGATATGTAAAGGATAGGATCTCACTTGGTAGAAATGAGACAGAGGAAGATGTTCCCGTCTTTGTTGAACTGATGGACGATGTCTCTGCGCTTCTGACTGCTGACCTTGCCATCGATACGCCTGTACTCGTGACCTTGACCTATCACATACTGCTCAATAATGTCCAGCAACTGCAAAAAGAACAAAATTCTCAGGTATTTGATTTCGTAAAGGTACAACAAAAATTTTAGTAATTTTCAATTACTTGATAAAAGTAACAATTCATTGACATCCAAAAAGAAAAATTTGTTGCTGCATGGTAAATACAAACATGTGCACACACTTGTCAAATCTCTCTCTCTCTCTCTCTCCCTCTCCCTCTCCCTCTCCTTCCCTCCCTCTCCCTCTCCTTCCCTCCCTCCCTCCCTC